TTTTTGGCCTACGTTAACTCAATAATATACCATAAAATCGGTTCCATTGAGCGTGGACCCTGTGCTTGCGGTCTCCTCCCTCGGGCTCTAACGAGGTTTGCGACGGGCTTAAACACCCCGTTTGTATTCACGAATAGTTTGTGTTCACGTTCTGTTCACAAATAGATGGGCTTTCAACCTGGGGGCCTTACAACCGGGATTTAACCATGTTAGAGGTATTACTGGCAGAAGTAACCTGTTAATCCGTTTTTTACAGGCAGGGTAAGCCGCAAACCAACTATGTCTTTCAGATCTTCACCTACTGAGTATTCGACAGCCAATTTACGTGGCAAATTTCTTCAAATTGTTATCCTGCTGGGGATTTCTTTGCTGTTATTCAACTGGTATTTTCTAGGTGAGAGAAAATATTGGGATAACTACAAAGACACAGGGGTTGCTGACGATGGAGACATAAAGGCGAGAAAAAGCATGGCATTTTACAATTTTAAGCTTACAGCATTCACTAAGCCGTTCAATGAAATTTTTCAAGCAAGACCAAATATATCAAACATACCAACTGCTTCCGGAAAAGAAACCGAAGAGGAGCTGAAATCTGATTCGTCCCGAAGTTGTCCGAAGATGTCACTCCAGCCGACAGGTGATGCCAAATACGGGCTATGTACAAGACCAAATATATCAAACATACCAACTGCTTCCGGAAAAGAAACCGAAGAGGAGCTGAAATCTGATTCGTCCCGAAGTTGTCCGAAGATGTCACTCCAGCCGACAGGTGATGCCAAATACGGGCTATGTACACCCCACGAGCCGAGCGAATCTTCGTGTGAACTTGCCGAAAAAATGTACTTCATTCGTCCTGAATTATCAACGTGTAAAAAGGGAAAAATTACCAGTATTTGCACAATGAAAGTAAGTGGAACACGCGAGGGAAATGTGATACATTTTAAATGCAACGAAGCACTTTGCCAACAGGGAAAAAACGATTCGCTTAAAGTATATGGCGTTAACCCAGAAACAGGGTTAACAAACATTGTAAATACATTCACCACGGTAAGAGATCTCGAAAAAGGACTACCAGCTATTGCTGGTAAAAACAGACAAAACAAGTTCAACTTTGTCTTTATTGAATGCACACATCACCTTGGAAGGCAGGTTTCTCAACTAGTTCCATTCGACCCACGTTTCATTATGGAAGAAACCAATAAGACTAGAAATGATCAAGTAATTAACGTAAACATTTTATTGATCGATTCCCTTTCCAGAGCTCATTTTTACCGCTCTTTACCCAGAACTATTTCCACATTCAAATATTGGCGCCAAAATCCCGCCGCTTTTCCCGCCAAAGTTTTCGACTTCGAGTTGTTCCAGGCCGTGCACGGCCACACTGCTGTCAATATGCACGCGTTTTACACTGGAGAGTTGTTTCCTGATGAAATGAAAGATAAAACTCCTCCACTTAACATATCGGCGCTGTTTGGGCATTACAAGAGGTCTGGATTCCAAACAGTGTGGCAGGAAGACTTGTGTTGGAAAGGGATCTGGGGACTAATGACTGATCTTGGCGTGGGAAACTGGAAGAGACTTCAGGAGAAGATGAAATCAACATATATTGATCATACAGGTACAGACACTTATCCAATGCTTATCCGCTAGGTAGTAGTTTATCTAGTGCTATCCAGCGTTTGAACAACCGAGGCCGGAACCGAAAATGAAAAATAAGGGACCTCCTGATGCAACCCTTAACTTAGTTTTGCTCATCATATTTTACACATGAAAATCGTTGTTAGAATATCTGCTCTCTACTTACTTTCTTTCGAAACGAAACCGAAGCTAGATTGTAAAAGGGATTTTAGCAATGAGTTTTATACCTCAGCCGGCTTGTAGCAATCTGGACAGTCACGACTTCGATTACCCCAGCGGCCTTGAATACAATTGTTCATTGTCTCATGCACTTTATACTGTCGAGGGTCTGGAACTCAAGCCTATAACTAATACTATATGTGTTTGATGGTTCTTAGGCCTCACGCATTCGAGTTGCAAGATTCTAAATTCTATGGGGATCGATAGTCCCTTCAACGGACCACCGGGTGACCAAATCTGCTTCAACGGACAATTCCAACACAGCTACTTCCTTCGTTATATTGCGGATACCCTTAATGCCATAAGAGCAACACGAAAGGCTAAGCCGATCCTCATGTATACGGCTCTTAACGTAGCTCACGACCAAAGAAGCGTGCGCACGCAAACATTGGATGGTACCCTACAAAACTATGTCAGTAGCGTTGCCAAGGACGAAAGCACGTTGTCAATCATTCTTGCAGATCATGGGAACACGTATACATGGTACGCATCGGAGTTTCTTGAAGGACGCTTTGAAATGTTTCATCCAAGCCTATTTATCATCGTCCCGGACAAAGTAGCTTCTCTTTTAGGGGAAGACGTCATGTCCGCACTAAAAGTAAACCAGCGAAGGCTTGTTACAATAATCGACTTACACCGTTCACTAATGGCTTTAGCCACGCCCCTTCGTGGTGTTACACCAGAGGGTGTGTTCACTCCCATTTCGGAGAATCGCACTTGCGATGACTTGGAACTCAGGACTCCTAATTTGTGCGTTTGCGAGGGCTGGGATATCCAGGCAGATAACGACACGTTGCGAATCCCAGTGGCTGAGTTTGCAATTGGAGAGCTTAACAACCGTTTGCAGAAACAGCACCACGCATTGTCTTCTGTTCAAAATGGCTCCAAAGTGATTAAACCATCCTGCCAACGATTACAGCCGTTATGGTTTGAAAATGTTCGCGTAAGAAACTCCAAAATTGATCAGTCACTGATAACTTCCATGGATATACGCGTGAAGGCAGGAGACGTTGTTCCTCAGGATCAAGATATCTTTCATGTTGAAGTACAGACAAAGGAAATATCTCAGAGAAGTTCCTTAGACATGACGCTGTTAAATTATGACCGTCATACGTTGTTTGGGAAATACCAAATCTGCGCGGATAGCGGTGTGGACTTAAAATTATGTGTTTGCTCACACAACGCGTCTAGTAACGGTTTGGCTCCTCACTCCCTTGAAAGATGGAAACATTTTAGTCAACGTTCTATTGTTAAAAACATAAGTAATAGACCGTGTTTGTGGCTGGTCGAAAGACGTTATTCTAAAGGGACGGCATATGAAGTGGCCAATTTGTGTCCAAATCAACCATTTCGAGTGAAAATTGACGCGGAAACATCAAACAAGAAGCTTTCTCGCCAGCTTCCCGTCACGTTAGATGTCCAACCTGGACAAGTCATCTTTGTATTCTACATGGCAGCTAGAATCTCAGTCACAGCAACCATTGAAAATGACACAGTCTCAGAAACTGAAGTTAGAGACCCGATAAAATGACGTCAATACCAAGCCTAACACCAACCTCGTTCCCAGGGTCTCTCCTGCCTGGAAACGAGGCTGGCTTAAGACAATGCTGCCGTGCAATAATTTTCTTCAGGTGTGCTAATGTTTCTGCTCGTGTAACCACCATGCTGAATCCCAAGAATGGAATTGGGGAGGGTCACAGAGGTCGGAAATAAAGAATAAATCGCTTGCCTTCTCCTACATGGGTTGCTTTGATACTCTCGTTAATCGAGCGCGCGCTTGCAGCGGACAACCATGGGTAAAAAAATTTGGTTATCTATGTATCCAAGAATTTTGGTTGAGAAAATCGTCCGTACGTACGTTCACCCATTTATGTTAGCGGATGTGAAATGTCTTACTTACTAGCTTAAAAGTCCATGGAATACACAAATTGTGTTTAACTTGATATTGGACATCCATGTTATGATAAGTTGACAGCTGTCAAAATAGGGTATCGGCTGAAAAGTTATGGTACTCAAGTGATCGCAGGCTCAGAAAACTTTACTTCAGAAAGAGATTTATTAAAAGCTTCGCTTTTGGCCTTGGCTAAATCTGTATATCAAAATAGAAGATTGCGGCCAATCAAGGCCACGGAAACATAAATCATAAAAAATAGCTAACAAGGGTTGCAATTCTTCTACTCTCCACAATGTTAATTTTTTATAATATCAAAGAGCGCGCCCGCTTGAGAAAACCTTAAACAAGCAGTTTTATTCCGCCAAAGAAAACACGCTTGCATTGCGGGCCAGTCAAATACCACAAATAAATGACGTAAAGAGGCCACTGAATTGTGTGTAAATCGAATACTAAACCAGTTGTAAAACGAAAACAACAGCAACATGCATGCGAAACTGAGGCAGGCGTCGCACGACTCTCGTTGTCACGTTTTCGAATACCCTGGATGCCAGAGGTGACAGAGGTTCTCCCTCTCACCTGCAGCGAGAAGCGTGAAGAGCGAAACGGAACCAAATTTTTTGTGTGTGAAGGCGAAGGAAACGGTAGACACAGCTACGAAGAGTGATTTATTAACGTTAGCAAATCAAACATACACATCTAATCTTGGTGGTTAATCAAAATTGCTCCAGTGTAAAGATGACCAGAAACATGTGAAAAAGTAAAAAAGGGGAATTAAGGCATTTTCCTGAATATTGATAAAGGTGAAAACTGGAAGTCGCCCTGGTTAAAGTTGGCTAAGTAGGACTTAAACAATTATGGTAGAAGCATGAAAAGGAAAATCATTAAAGTAAGGCATACAGAAACTGGACAGAAATCTAAGCGGACATCCACGGGACATATAGTTTTAAAGAAAACGTGTAAAGAAAGGTTTGGATCTAATTGACGAACATGTCTGCTAAATACAGAGGGGTGACTGGGTTGTCTTTTTTTTTATGAGGGGTCCCTCTGAACATATATTTTACCGTGCATGTAATTAGTGCGCAGTTAGATAATTGGGCACCGTTTCTTTAGACTAACCGGGTCATTTTACGTTTCTGGCAAACTGCCCAGCCGCCCCTCCCCTAAGACAACATTTTGCCCTTAGTGAGAAGTAAGTGTTAATGTTGGCTTAGGGGAGGGGTAGGTGGGCAGTTTCCGAGAAAAGTATAATGATCCTCCTGTCCCAGGTAGAAGGGTCACCCTCTCAGTCGAGTCAACTTTAGCGAGCGTTTATGTGAGAAAAAAGTTGACCCATTTGCCCGAGTGAAATGCGCTCGCGCATGCTCTGATTGCCTCCCTTTGACCGAGTTGACCCCGCTGGGGGAACCATGCAAATTGTTTATAGTTGTTGGAAGGTAACCACACCATCACAAAAGGGTGACCTTCTAGTGGAGTCAACTGTTGGTTTCTCATGGAAACCGTTCGCCCCGTTACATAAGGAAATGAATGAAAAGTTAGCTCGACTTTGCCTAGTCTCTGTAGGGCGTCTTCACAGGCCTTCTCGGTTGATGCATTTCGTTAACGTGTTCGAGACGAAAACTCGCTCGGACCACGTGACCGGAAGGACTAGGCAAGGCTCGCCTAGCCTTCGACGCAGGACATCTTTTCTCAATAGAGAAGAGAAGTAGTTATGTCATGTTGCCATGGTAGCAAAATTTCTGTATGACAAAAAACCGAAAACGTCGGTTAAAGAGTGAATTCGTACTGTGGCGTTTCAAACGTCACCGATCTTAATCAATTTCATTTAATTTGTCAAATGTTGGCGAATTTTCTGGGTTGGAATCTGAAAGGACCATTTGTAAAAAAAATTTGGGCTTCGTTCACGTACTCCACTCTTCATGCACTTTCATTCGCTGAGGCTGTTTCATGTCGCAATCGTGTAACGATGGTTAAGAAATACACAAAAAAGCGTGATGTACTTGCAAAGTTGTCGTATTGCCACAATAAACCTATTGCTTTTTTGCCGTTCTCGTTGCCGTCGCCGTCGTCTTTGCTTTTAAAAGCTCCCTGTTGTTGTGATCAAAAGATTTTTCTACCATGGTAACGTGACGTCATACTTCTCTCCTCTATAGAGTGTTTTCACTCACATGACCAGCATCTATGCAAATTTATTGGAACAAAAGAAAGCGTTTGCATAAGAAAAGGGTTCAACTCCCACAGGATTGGTTTGGGACACCAACATGGCCACCGTTTTATTGTTTAGGGACACCAATATGGCCGCCATGACGTCATGTGAAAACACTCTATACAATAGCAGGGCCTTAGAATTTTACAAACTTAAGTCAAACGTGATTTCAAGCGTAGTGGGAAGGAAACTTATGTCGTGGCAACATTGTTTGACTTGACCAAACCGAATTCTGCCCTTTGTCTCAATCTACAAAACAAAACAATAACCAAGACAAAACTAACGACAAACAAACCCCAGCCAATGATAAGGATTACGAGTAAGGTTGTGTCATCTTTGCAATCTTTCTCCCCGCCAGTTTTTTGGGTCTCGTCGGACTTCATTTTATCAACAAACATCTGGGGAGTCACATCACCGCAAGCTGGAATGTTGGAGGAAGGTTTTGGTAGTTTATCTGCAGATTCAATGAAAATCACCTGCATACCCATGACGAAATGCCAGGTGATATGGCAATGAAACGGCCAAACACCAGGATTTTCAGCCACAAAGCGGACCACTACCCAACCGCAACCACCTGAGAGGGAAAAATATACTTGTTGAATAGATTGGCCGTTTCACACTTGAGACGGATGACCGTCTTCAAAATCCGTTGGATAAAGTCAGACGGATTATTCGTCCAAAATCGGCCATATTCACGCGAGAGACAGATTATTCGTCTGAGACGGTTATCCATTAGATAATGCGCGTCAAACAGATAATGAGAACTTTAAAATGGAAGTTGAAAAGACAATTCAGGGACCGCGGAGCAAGGTGAAAAGTGGGAGGGCTGACAATTGAAAATATTTTTTTCATATTGAAAATCGAAAAAAGGAATAAAAGGAATAAAATCATAGTATTTGTATGTTTACTGGTCAAACTCAAACTCATCATTCTCACTGCAAGTAGTTGTCGTCTTTTCTGCAGAGCTTACAGACTTTGACGAAGTCCCAGATAACTCTAATAAACGACCAACACACACGGTCAGTTCAGATTCAATGCAAGAAAAGACGGGATTACAATTTTAGTATAGAAAATACTACACTGACGTGATCTGAAAAATTTCTAACTATGGCCGTTCACTGTTCAAGTAATGTAATTCTTCTTGCCATCGAATATTTCATTGATTCGAAAGGAGAAAGAAAAAAATAAAACTTTTATCAACTCAAAACAACTACTCACCTTCGTTTGGCTTGAAAAAGCTAGTAATTTTCTTCATTTCGTCTGATAAAACTGATAAAAAACTCTGCCGGAGCTGGAAGTACAAAACACGCTGCCGAACGAAGCGAAGGGGTGGCCAAGGCATGGCGTTTAATCAAGGGGCAAGTCGGCCCAAGGGCACAATTACCGCGAAAAGCACAGGAGCCCCACAAAATGCCTGGCGTTTGAAATTAAAGAAAATACAGAGAATATAGCGGAATATGGACGGAAAAAACTTTTTTCAAGTCTTTTTTTTTTAAATTTAATTATTTTTCCTTTAGCGCAAAAAGTGGGGACGGGGGCACAAAAAAGTGGTGGGGCCGCGGCCCTACCAGCCCCTCCCCCTCCGCGGTCCCTGCAATTTGACACCTTTAATAATTACAGTACAATTATATTTTTGATTATTTAAAAACCAGTCTCTTAAAATTTGGTCAAATAAGTTTCAAATAGTAATGATTAATTATAGTAAGTTGTGTGCAAGTTTATAGGAAAATCTAATGAGCGAAGTTTATGTAAACTGAGCCAAAGTGAGATTTTAAGGTTGTGTTCAATCGTTCATCTTGCCATGGAAACTACCAAAACGTCAAATTTTACCTGTCAATCAAAATCTTGCATCAGTATAATTTTCACTTGCCAAGCTGTGAGCTGCAACCTTTCTCTTGCCATGATTTGGCAAATGACATATACCCAGAAACTGCCAAAACTGTGTTCAGCCACTTTAATATCTTTTACATAAAGCCTGAGACACGCCCGGTGTAGTCTTTTGCTTTAAAGACGATTTTCCTACCTTGTTCTTTCTGGCCTCCGAAAGGTTTCTCTGCGTCTGGGAGGACTGTTACTGTGTCTCGTTTTACGGCCTTCTCAGGGTCAAGAGAGGCGATCTGCTCAGCAGATCCATTCCAATTACCAAGTCCCATACCAACCACCCAGAATTTGTGACCATGAAGATGCCAAGGATGCTGTTCACATACCTAACAGGGAAATTGGTCAAAACGATTAGCTTGCCTTTTACGGAGGTTTGTTACAGCTACCTAGTTCTTTTGTTAATACATGTATTACGCGTCCTTATTCGCACTCAATCCTGTGTTCCTCTTTTCCAATGGTATATCTGTGTTTAGACTTGTTGCAGATCTTTTAGCTCCGCCTCATTAGCTTTCGCAAACCTTTTTAGGTGGATACAAGCACAAAAACGGAGTATTATTTAGTCTATAATACAATACAATAGAATAACTTTATTTATCCACGGTTAAAAGTCATTAGGCAAAGTGAACCACTTAAAAAAGTTAAAACAATTTCTAACAACAGAAAGAAAAAATGTGCCTGCTTTCATAATGCCGTGTAAAGTGACCGACCGTATTTCAGAAGAGATCACTGCATCTGTAAAGAGGGAAACGTTCGCGGCCGCCGCAGCTCAATAGGTAGTCTATTCTACAGCACCGAACCTCTATAAATTACACTGTTTTTAACATAATTCGTACGGCTTGTGGAATAGTCTAAATTGATTTAGGTCATACCCTGTTGCATGCCGGATAGTTCTGGACGACAATATCGATGACATCACCACTGTTGATTTTAAAATACCCTCTCTCCTCAGTCATAGTGTGCTGTGCTAAGTTAAAGTAAACCATATGTAACACAGGCGTGGTCTCCCACTTGTAGCTCACGCGGTTCACAGCCCAACGCAGGTGGCGTCCTGTACTATTACAATTATCCTCCGGTGGAATCCTGTCATTATTGTACTGGACTCCACTTGACCAATCATAACGCTCTTGGGTACCAAGCATGACAATCCTTCGTGTCACTTTGTCGTTTGGAGGAGCCGAGTCCTTACCGCGAAGCTGACTCTGTTGCGCATAAGATGCACTGCTGTTGTCCCAGGTGGGTTGTGTTGCCTTGACAACATCGACGTCAGTGTCAGGTTTGTCTTTATTGACTCCTTTGTACTTCAATATTGCTTGGCCAGTCACTACGTTCTTTCTGTGGCGCGTCATGACACTGACCCAGTAAGCGTCCACAGCTTGATCAGCAGTAAACAGAACAGAATATCTCTGCCCTGAATTGATATCCAGCGATGTAACGTTCATGCCCTGCAAAGGCAGCCCATCTGCTTCCACTACGATCAAACTGTGATTTTCGATTGCAAAATTCATAAACGAAAGTTCAGCGGTATTTATCAGACGTAGCCTGTAGGTTTTGCCTTTCTCTACCTCCAGTATTTCGTGTCCCGGACACTTAGATTGATGGCAATAAACTGTTCCGCCGGGTTTCCAATAAGGAAACGGTGTACCTTCCGATACTCCATTGTCCGAGCAATTGAAGAATCCTTTTCCGTTTAATATAATGGACTGTGGATCACCTAGCACGACAAAAAAAATTGTAATTGTAATTTGGTTACCCATAAAACACAAGGCGTTAACAAAAAGGTGCAGAGAGCACAAACTACAATTACGTAATCGCTTACAATAATAATAATAATAATAATAATGTTGATGATAACGAATATTTTAAATGGGCTGTTTTTACGGCTGTCTAGTTCATTTTGCTAATATTGCCAATTACACGTCCTTATTCGCAACGGAACGTAACGTTGGCAACGAAATTACTAGCAAATTACAAAATCACAGCTTCTTGTCTCCCAAGCATCATTTAACATGTTTAAAACCTCACCGACAACCAAAAATAAACTTTGAAAAACTGTTCAGCTGACAAGTTTTGAAAAACCACAATTGCAATCCGTTTTAATCTTCTTTAAGTTTGTCCATCCGTAACAACTTTTGTGTTTCCTGTGTTATTTATACATTCTTTTAATGTTTAGAGCTGTTACTTTTATTTTTCGCTCAGTTTGGTGCCAGTTCCCATTGTTTGAATTTCGATGATTTTCGTGATAGAGGTCCTTAGGATCTAAGAAAACCTATCAGTTTATAAAACACTGTCATCAATGAGATCCTGTACCTATTTATAAACTTATTAGAAGTAACACTAACTTATTTTAGAACTGAGCCTTCATACCTGCCCAGCGGAACTCCTCCTCCAAGAGTCCAATACTGAGCTCGTGTTGAATTGCATGATACCAGTCGCTTAGCAACAGCGTGTATTCCCCATCATAACTCCACTGTTCAGAAACTCCAGGTGCCGGATCAATTATAAGAACCCCATAAAGACCAGCGGCGCGTATTCCACCAAGGTGGCCATGATAAAAATACGTTCCAGGCTTATCGTTGACGCGGAAAATGTAAGTGAAGGAGGTCTTGGGTGGGATAGGACAGTTTGAAATCATCCCTAGAGTGGAGGAGAGGTTGTTAGATTTACAGTTGCTTTTTACATGACATAAACAACGATTTAAAGGGGTTGTGTCACGGCAGTCCAGTTCATTTTGTCTAATTTTGCCAATTACTCGCCCTCAATCGCTATGGAACTTAAAGTAAGCAAAGAAATTACTTGTAATGACACAAGCAGAGATTCGAGACAAACAAATATGTTTCCTTAGCATTAATTTTGAAGTTGCAAACATCAGAGATCATCTTTGAAAAACTGTTAGGCTGAACAGTTTTCAAAAACCCTAATTTCAATCCGTGTCAATCTCCTTCAGTTTTGCCCAGGCGTCTGTTGTATCTGTTGTGTTATGGAATTTGGAAATGTTGGTGTTTAAGGATAGGCCGAAGAGACTGGATTACCCGGGGAAAAAACCTCTGGGAGCAAAGACGAGAACCGACAACAAATTAACCCCCATACGGCATCGATGCCGGGATTTTATTCCGGGCCACATTGGTGGGAGGCTAGTGCTCTCACAGACTGATCTTATCACCCTTGCTCTCCTTAAACGCGATACAGTCGAGACTTTTATGTCTAACCCCTTCCTTAAAGGAACAATTTTCTCAGTAAATTGTCTCCCTGGTTTTTGTAAGTCTCGACTTTGTCACCTATAGATCGAAGGGTACTTGTATGCGAATACACGTTTTGTAAAGGAGGGTTGATTTTTTTCCGATGACATTCACTCTCGACTTGATGAGTTGACAAGGCCTTCAAATATGTAGGAGACATTACTATTTAGAATACAAATAATGTTATGTCGTGTTATTCAGATTTGTAACGAGTGAAACAAAAGAACCTCTTTTTTTCACGAACCAAGGTGACGTCAGCGTGACTCACACTATAGGAACCACCAAGATTGCGCAAAGCAACCAAATGTCTACTAGCGTTACTCGTGAAACGTAAGTGTTAATGTTGGCTTAGGGGAGGGGTAGGTGGGCAGTTTCCCAGAAACGTATCATGATTCGAGTAATCTTGGAGGAAATCCTTTCACTGCGCTCACCTATCCCGTCATGCCACACGTTCTCGCGCTGCTCCTGACCATGCCAGTGAATGGTGATAGCATCTGATGGAAGATTGTTGTTAACTTTAACACGAACCTCCTCCCCAACCTTGACGCGGATTGTGGGCCCGGGAAAATCGTCATTTATTGTCACAATAGGACGTTCGACGCAGTCGGGACTACGGTATGACCATGCCACGTTAAACTCGTAATCCTTACTCTCTGTAGCTGTAAGAATCAGGAGGAATAGAACGGAAAGTAGCCACGCTCGATTTGGCATTTCTGAAAAAAAAACTAGGTAGGTTAAATATGGGGGACGACAGAGGGGCGGGGCCAGAGTGAAAAAGGAAAAGGAGGCGTTCCAGGGGTGTGGGGGGGACGGGAGAAAAAGGTTGAAACAGTAAGAAAGAGTTTCTTTGATAGCAAGATATACTGTACCCCACGCCGAATACAGCTATTCATCGCTCCCCACCGCAGGAACGTTTTGCCTTCTCCTGAAAATGACGAGCTCCCCTAAAAACGTCTGCGTGAGAGGCTATTGTAGTTGGGACAATAGGAAATTTAGCTTGATCACGCGATTGACTGTTTACTGTGACACTGCTGTAGTGTATACGATGCTAATGCAAGCGCGTAGAAGCGAGAGAATGAATGTGATGTGATACACACGGGAATTACGTAATTTGCATGTACTGTAGATAGCGTGTGTTGTAATTTATTCGAGTCGGTTAGCGTTCTGAGTTCGGAGTGTAACGGTCGTGAATAAAGTGTGTTTTAACCTAACCGCGGTACTACATTGGCGACGAGGATATTTCGAGGATATTTCGAGGATTTCGCCGAGGGTTTCAAGAGTTTCGTTGAAAATCTCGCTGTGGATTTCGTCGAGGATTTCGTCAAGGATTTATTTCAGCGATGCCGGGAGGCGGTGGATCGGGCGAAACTAACGCGACAAGCGGTACTACGAGCGGTGCTGTTGGCGGTTCTGGGATGACTTCTGTTACTTTAGATGTCAGTGGATTGGAACCATTTAATCCAAAAGGAGAGGCGCACAATTTAAGTCAGCGATGGAAGAAGTGGAAGCGAGCGTTCAGTTTGTATGTGACCGGGAAAGGTGTATCGAACGACGCTCAAAAACGTGCTTTGCTGTTGCATGTCGCTGGTATGGATGTGCAAGAAATTTATTTCACACTAGCTGGTGAGGGTGGAGATGCAAGTTTTGAAGCAACGTTAAAGGTGTTGGACGACCATTTCGTGCCAAAGGCGAACATTCCCTTTGAGAGACATTTGTTTCGACAAATTTCGCAAGGGATCGGAGAGACAGTTGATCAGTTCGTTTGTAGATTGCGTCAGCGAGCAGCGACTTGTGATTTTGGCGCCGGCGAGGATGACTACATTCGCGATCAGCTCATAGACAAGTGTTATTCGAGCCATTTACGCCGGAAATTTCTGGAAAAGGAAGGAACTGTTACGTTAGATGAATTGTTGCGTGTTGCAAGATCCCAAGAAGCGGTTGATCGACAACTGAAGCAATACAGTACCGACCAAGCAGATAACCAGGTCAATGCAGTGGGTGGCAGGCTGTATGGAAACAAAAATCCCAGGAAAGCAAAGACGTGCTTTAGCTGCGGACAAGAAGGACACTTCAGTCAAGACAAAAAGTGCCCGGCGCGTGGTCAAACTTGCAGGAAGTGCGGCGAAACAGGCCATTTCAAAGTTAAATGCCCTCGACTCCATCAGCTAAGCAGGACCCATTCGGGATCTAGAGGACCTGAGAGTAGCAGAGGCGGACGCGGCAGAGGAGGCAGGAGTGCTGGTGGACTGGGTCGAGGTGGACGCGGACGCGGAGGGCGAGAGACGAACCTCGTGACTGGAAGACCTAGCCCTGGAGAGGAAGACAAAGGAGATTTCGCTGCATCAGGTCATTCGCAAAGACCCGATTATGCCTTTTCAGTGGAACAGGTGAATGATCGCAAGGAACAAAGGGGCGCTTTGGTAACGCTGGTCATTGGTGGTGTAGACGTACCCGATGTTCTCATTGATTCGGGAGCTTCATGTAATGTTATGGGCCAGCAGACCTGGGAGTTGTTAAAGCAAAAGGGGATTAACTGTGAATCTCGCAAATCTGCAAAGGAACTTTTTGCTTATGGTGGTACAGAACCTTTACCGACCCTAGGAACGTTCACGGCAGATGTCACGCTGGCTGGGTTTGAAAACGGAAGTAATGCTGATTTTGTGGTGGTTGAAGGCGATGGTCGCACGCTGTTGGGCCGAGAGACTGCCGAGGCGCTAAACCTGTTGCGTATTGGTCCTTTTCAGACAAACAGTGTTGACGGTGGGCGATCGGACGGGGATGTCAGAGAGAAATACAAGCACTTGTTTAGTGGTGTTGGTCTTTTGAAGGGCTACGAGCTTAAGCTACACATTGATGAGTCGGTGAAGCCTGTAGCGCAGCATGTACGTAGGATACCGTTCGGGTTACGCGAGAAGGTGGATGCAAAGCTGGATGAACTTTTGGAGCTTGACATTATAGAGGAAGTGCCGGAGGGGCCGTCAGGATGGATTTCGCCGTTGGTGGTGGTTCCCAAAAGCGATGGCGACGTAAGAGTCTGTGTTGATATGCGTCGTGCAAATGAAGCAATCGTCCGAGAGCGTCACCCAATTCCAACCGTTGAGGAGCTGTTACACGACTTGAATGGCAGTACGGTGTTCAGCAAGATAGATCTCAAGTGGGGTTTTCACCAGATTTTACTCAGTGAGGAAAGTCGCCACATCACTACCTTTGCCACGCATCGAGGGCTTTATCGTTACAAGCGGTTGATGTTTGGCGTAACGTCGGCGCCGGAGAAATATCAGCAGATCATTAGAGATGTGTTAAGGGGTTGTGCTGGGGTTGCGAACATTGCGGACGATCTCATTGTTCATGGGTGTGACGTGGAGGAACATGACAAGCGTCTTTTTGCGGTGTTAGATAGGCTGAGTGAAGTGGGGTTGACGGTGAACGGAGACAAGTGCGAGTTTAGATTGTCAAGGCTTACGTTCTTTGGTCACGAGCTGACTAGTGACGGCATAAACCCATCCGAAGAGAAGATTGCTGCTATAAGAGATGCTAGATCTCCCAAAGACGCAAGTGAAGTGCGATCGTTTATGGGTCTTGTCCAATATTCCGCTAAGTTCATGCCTGACGTGGCGTCCGTGGCCAAGCCTATTCAAGAGTTAACCAGGAAGGGCATCGTGTTTCACTGGGGTAAAGAGCAACAAACAGCCTTTGAGGAACTGAAGCGTCTAATCACCCAGGCAGAGACACTGGCTTATTTTAAGGTTGGCTGCAGAACGCGAATCATTGCCGATGCATCTCCAGTTGGATTAGGAGCGGTTCTCACCCAGCAGCAGGGGGGAATGTGGAGAGTTGTCTCCTACGCGTCGAGGAGCCTAACTGACGTGGAACGACGCTACAGCCAAACAGAGAAAGAGGCACTTGCCTTGGTTTGGGCGTGTGAACGGTTCAACATGTACGTTTCCGGACAGAGCTTCGAGTTGGAAACAGATCACAAGCCTTTAGAGCGTGTCTACTCGCGCACTTCAAAGCCTTGCGCCCGAATAGAGAGATGGGTCTTAAGACTACAAGGGTACGATTTTAAAGTGGTGTACCGCCCAGGGAAGACAAATATAGCCGACGCGTTGTCCCGTTTGAACTCCTTGGATCAAGTGGACCATGGAGAAGACTACGACTTTGTCAGAGCCATTGCTATAAGCTGTATACCCGTTGCTCTATCACCTACAGAAATTGAAGAAGCTTCCTATTTTGACGAAGAATTGACGATAGTAAAGAGTTGCGTGAGGTCAGGGGACTGGGACCGGTGTACACTTCCCTCGTATGCACAAGTCAAGGACGAATTATGCGTCTATGGTGAGCTATTGCTTCGCGGCACAAGGATTGTGGTTCCCAAGCTCCTGCGCGACAGGGTGGTGCGGCTGGCACACGAAGGGCACCAGGGTATAGTGAAGACGAAGTATCGGCTCCGTAGTAAAGTTTGGTGGCCGGGAATGGACAAGGAAGTTGAGAAATTTTGTAAAGTTTGTCATGGCTGCCAGGTCACTTCTGGATTTAACCCTCCTGAGCCGATGTCCCGCGTTCTTCCTCCGAGTGCTCCTTGGCAGGATTGTGGAGCAGACCTGCTGGGACCCCTACCCACAGGAGAGAGTATTTTGGTGGTGATCGATTACTACAGTCGTTTCTTAGAAGTTGCTATTCTGAAGTCTACTACAAGTGCCAAGGTCATCGAAGCACTTGCACCCATGTTTGCCAGATTCGGTTTTCCGTTCTCTTTAAGGACAGATAATGGGCCCCAGTTCGTATCCGAAGAATTTGAAGCATATTTACGCGCAAATGGTATTGAGCACAGGAAAACGACGCCGTTGTGGCCTCAAGCTAATGGAGAGGTGGAACGCCAAAATCGCTCGTTACTTAAATGTCTACAGATTGCACATTTAGAAGGAAAGAACTGGAGAACTGAATTGCTTGTATGGTTGATGGCGTACAGATCCACTCCGCAAACGTCGACGGGGACTACCCCCTGTTACATGATGTTTGGCCACGAGGTTAGGTCCAAATTGCCAGAGTTAAGGAGAGAGACGGTCGGGGTGCCAGGCGAAGAAGTGCGAGAGCGGGATTGGTCAAGTAAATTAAAGGGCAAAGCTTATGCAGATCTCAAGAGAGGTGCCACGCCCAAGAGCATACGTGTTGGTGACACAGTACTTTTGAAAGCCGAAAAAACGAACAAGCTGTCTACCAACTTCAACCCTGCTCCTTTTAAGGTGGTTCAGAGGACAGGAACAGAGGTAACGCTTAGGAACGAAGCTGGTGTGCAACTGAAAAGGAACACTGCATTCGTAAAGAAGTACAACGATGGTGTATCCAATGGCAACGGAGACCAAGTGGTACAAGCAAGTTCTACAGTACAGACAGATGAGCCAGGGCCAAGCAGAGTTCCGGAGACGACAGAGGTATCAGGGCCAAGCGGAATTCCAGGGACTACAGGAGTATCTGAAAATTCCCAAGTACAAGCTGGGCATTCTACCGAAAAGGAAGATAACGCAGCGGAAAGGCCTGTGCGGAGGTCGACCCGAACTATAAGACAGCCTGCGCGCTATAAAGACTTTGTCCTGGATGTTTAGGACTTCTTTTCCTGTTTTGTCTAGTTTAATTCAAAGACTTTGTTTTGCTGAACATTTAGGGTTTTGCAGCCTTTTAAAACTGCCTTCCTGCTAAATTTGATCAAAGAAGGGAATGTAGTGTATACGATGCTAATGCAAGCGCGTAGAAGCGAGAGAATGAATGTGATGTGATACACACGGGGATTACGTAATTTGCATGTACTATAGATAGCGTGTGTTGTAATTTATTCGAGTCGGTTAGCGTTCTGAGTTCGGAGTGTAACGGTCGTGAATAAAGTGTGTTTTAACCTAACCGCGGTACTACAACTGCCATGAAGTGACACGATTGCTAAATGCAAGGGTAAGTTTACTTAGGTTAAACTACAAGTCGTGTCCATGCAGGTCTGTGGTACCTCATCCTCCTACGGGATAGTAGAGCGATCAAAGTCGGGCCGCAAAGTTCCGCAAATGAACTCGTCTTCGTTCTTTAATTACGCGTCAGTATTTCAGACACCATTTCTCCCTCATTTTTCTCTTCCTTCAGTGTGTCTCTAGCCTGCGAATCTAGCTAATGTGTCTCGGTCCTGATAGGTTGCAGTTTCCGCTTGCTCTCATTCCCGAGTAATGTATTTCGCTCACCCTTCTTAAAATCCCTTTGGAAATGTACTTTTAAAAGCAAGCATGCTAATACTTACCACTGTTGTCGAAAAACTTCAAAATGCTGTTGAGTTTCGATCAGAATTTCCAGTCAAGACCTAAGCATAAACAATGATCTGTGATTAATATTGGCAAATGAAATTGTTCTTTCTATAAATGGCTCAACTGTGACTTTTTATAGACATATGCTCTCGACACTATATTTATATTAATGATACAAATATAACTATATCTAATGAAGTCAGTTTAGTACAACAACAGATCAATACGTTATGGAGGGTAATCACCCGCTGCGTAAAAATAAAAAATGACTACCCCAATTAACTGGTCTTAACATCAACTTAAAGCTCACTTCAGATTACTACAGCTTGCACATCAATGTACAGATTCATAGGGCGCTTCGAAGGCAAGGTTCGCAGTTAAGCACATGTTTAGAAGCATTACATATTAACAAGAACAATATCATCCCCAAGAGGTCCCAGGGGACTCTTAAATGCAAGGTTCCTGTCAAAACTAATTGATTGGTGTTCGTGTTTTGTTTTTAAAAGTTAGTCAAATCTATTTGCATTCTTGTTATTATAGTCTTGCGTCAATGACGAAACTAACCAACCAACCAGTGAACAACACCAAATTTTAAAAAAAATCATTTTACAAAATTCCTTGATTTACAACTTTGGAATGGATCTTCAGACCGAGAGCGGCCTTAGAATTTAATAACACTAGTGATATTAATAATAATTATTATTTTTATAATTATGATAATAATAATCATATTATTATTATTATTATTATTATTATTATTATTATTATTATTATTATTATTATTATTATTATTATTATTTGCAATCAAGTTACGGTACGACTGGGAAATAACGGACACTCCCATGATCTGCGTATGCGGTGTTCAATTTAGCGTGGATCACGCAATGGTGTGTCAGCGCGGCGGGTTCATTATCCAGCGCCATAACGAGCCGCGCGCCTTAGAAGCAGCGATGCTAGCAACCTGATTTGTTGGAAAACAAGTTTGAACGTGGAAGGTTAAACGCGCCACATTGTTTTTCGACTCGCGATTCGTTTGGCAACAATGTTTCGAAACAAGCTGTACGTTTTTGTTTCCTTTTTAACTGTATTTTATTCCCTACTTTGTTTGCATCTGTAGGTATTGAGAGTTTAAGCGAAAGGTGTTTATAGTCCTCATCGATTGTGAAGGCGCAAAAGATCTGCTAGATATTGAGGACAGAGACCATTTTTAGTAGGAGCTTTATAACAAAAAGAAGGCTTAAACACAAATGAAAGATGACTTTTAACTTCTTTTTTAGTGTTAAATCCGTTTCTCCTAGTTTAGCTCAGTGTTTAGCATAGGTTTAACACCAGAGCCTGCGAGAAAGCTCTCCATTTGGACAAGCGAAGCGAGCCGCGCGAGGACGCGCGAGCGAGCGAGCGGGGGTGAACAGGAGGCGGTGAAAAGGAGTTTCATCTTTCGTTCCCCCCCTCCTTCTCCCTCGCTGTTGAGTCCCCGCTGGCGCCAACCTCGTCCCAAGGGCTGCATGAGGGCTTGCTCGCAGGCTATTAACACCACACAACACAAAACTGAGGTAGACATAGCTTAGTTTCCTTAGAAACAATTCATAGGTGACCTTAATTATATTATAGAATGTTTAATTGTTCTCTATTACGGAGGAAATCATTTGGTCTATCGTTCACAGCCACAGTTCCCCTTACTTGATATAGCCTCACCACAAAGCTGAATTCTTTGAGGGTTTTTTTCACCAACAATGACTCTCCTGTTTTTACATAAAGTTTAAACGCAATTAACAATTTAATTATTCTTGTCTCAACTTGTTTACTTTAACACTCTTTGCAAAAAAATGCGTCTGTCGCCAGTAGTATGTTTAAGTTTGCAGTGCAGCCCTGTTGGATTTAGCCTGCCTGGCAAGCGTTTACGCGCGGTTTCGGAGCAAAGAACGAGGAACGAGAGTCAAAGACCGCGCGAAAAAAGAGAGAAGAAAACAGCGGGTCCCTTTTTCGTGCGGCCAAATCTGAAAATCCCGTTCCTCGTCGTTCCTTTGCCATAGGGGACCTCAAGCAATGGACGACGACGACGACGACAGTGAAAACTTCGGTTAAAAAAAATGAATTTGCGCTCTTTCAAACTTAATCGTGTCTTTGGACTGGCTCAATATGTCAAAATGCAGGCGACTTTTCCTTAAGATGAATTCTTAAGGATTTTAATCAGTTTCCAGAGGAAGGAAGTCGTATTTCCACGTCCTCCATAAAACGTCAAATTAGGAGGTTTCACGTCGTAGTCGTGCAGTGGACGTCACAGAAATGTACTAAAATGAGTGACGCACGTGAAGAGCTGTTGTTTTGATCATTACACCATTGTTTTTTTGAAGTCGTCGTTGGGGATTAAGTCGTTGGATTAAGTCCCCTGCGTTGAAAGATCGACGTTAATTAGAGAGTATTTTTTACAATAGTTATCGTGACCGGGCTCAGCCTGTTTTACTGTTGTATTAAATTTATCGACAACAAGACACATAGTCAGATTATGTTAAAAAGCGAAATCGTAAGAGTTTGGCCTTCCTGCGTTTCGAGACAAATCAATTCCAAAAAAAGCCATTTCTTCTACGTTTGAAACTTGAGAAGAAATTTTTACATATACGATGATATCTAAAAGTTATTTCACTAAAGTTATTATTTTTAAAAAGGGAAAAAGGAAGGAACTTTGAAAGGCATCTTTATGCATGACCAGTAGCCAAGAACTGATTACGCGTTTGTGGGCAACACTTGGCTACTAGTAAGAATTTCTCTTTTCATCGGCGCCCGTGAAAAAAAAACCTATGCATGCTTTTTGCAGAAAAAAAGACAGTAGAATCACAATACAGAACTAAAATCGAATTTAAGAAACCATTACTGTTTTACTAAAATGAAGGTCTTCAGTGAGAGAAATTTGGCCCCACACTGTGAAAGAAACTGCACTTCAAGTATCGGCCTGTGCGCTGTGAGCGGAAAAGATGCCTCCTCTTTTCTCCTCCCGCCGGCCAAATAGCTGGAAACAGACGGCCTCTGCTGCATGAAGCCTCTGTCAATAGCGGGAAAGGTCATCAAAAAGCCGTAATACCGTGTCAGGTTTAGTTTGATTAAAGTCATATAATAAATTAAAGCAATAAAAAACTTTTTTTCTGTGCTTGTTTAGCCTAATATAAACACTTGAAGAGTTGGTGAAATTATTGAAAGTTCGCAAACCCTCCACTTCGTCTCTGGTTTCAGTTTGACAACTGTCAAGGTCTCGAATATGGCTAACCACCTTTCCGTGTTTATTTTAAAATATGCAAAGAAGGAAAAAGTTTTCTATTGCTTAGACCGTTGTGCATCATTTTCTGCTGGGCGTCCTATTTTAGGTTCTTTTAAGAAGGTGATCACTTCTTACAAAGAGAGTAACAAACATGATCTAGATTAACTTACAGAAAGACAGTAAATGGGCAATATAACATGATATAAACCTTAAAATGATTACGTAATCGAGAGTCGAACTAGGGTTGCCATGTAAACAAAACTAATTTCAGTAAAGAAAGCAAGTTCTATCAAGTAAATCATCATCATCGTACCTCTTTCTGCGATGGCAAAGTACAAATACAGTAGTCGATCTATGGCTCGGCAGGAAGTTACACAAACTTCGATTTAAACTTTGCAGCAAAACGGATAGTAGACGTCACGAAAGGGAAACAATCGGAAGGAAGTCGCTGAAACTGTGACTGATATTATTAGTATCTTAGCTAAAAATAACGGCCCCTGCTGGGGGTATATTTTGAGGTGGCAGGTGCCACATGAAAAGGGGTACATTCCTGGTTTTTTGTAACCTGAGTTCAGGCCCCGGAATGTTATTTACAAAGCGAAACGAAAATAGAGCCTGATCTCAGGTTAGGTTTCTTGAGCCATTTTGGACTGGGGCGTTTGCTGTTAGGTCTGAAACCGGAATAGTCGTTGACAAATTGATATTGATGTAAATAGCTATCTACAACCCCATTCTGAATTTAGAAGTCGATGGAGTCATCGTTATAGACATAGGCAAGATAAGGCGGCAAAGAACATTTATTTTTATTCCTTCTTCTCAAGGACCATAAGACTATGGAATATTCTACCCATGGAAATAGTTGAGTCAAACCACGGGAAATATTTAAAAGTTTATTGTCGGAAAGTCGAGTCTACAACCAAACTGCAAACTTCGGAGAATATGCGGGAGATTTCATACTCTAATCTGGAGACCGGATTCTCCCGGATTATTCCGCAAAGTTGACAGCACTGATCATCTTCATCATCATCATCATCATTACTACTAGCACCAACACCACCATAAACGTCATCATCACCATCTTCTTCTTCTTCTTCTTCTTCTTCTTCTTCTTCTTCTTCTTCTTCTTCTTCTTCTTTATCATCAACATCATCAACATTATCGTCATTTTCACCATTCTGTCATCAAGTCTCATTAGCATCTGTCGTTCAGTTTGCTGTCAGGGTCTTAAAAATAATCATCGGCAGGAGCCGATCAAATGTCATCGGCTTTTCATCTATTAGCCCTGGGCTGTATTGAAAAAAGCGCACAGTGTTTGTTTTACATTTTTCCAAATAAATCTGTATTTGTTATAAGGGCAAATTCCAAACTATTTTAATTAAACTTGGTCAACAGGTTGGTCACGTGGTATAATTTCTAACTCTCTCTACTGAGTGAGATCTGGGACCAAGAATCAGCCAAGATGGCGCCTGAAATAGGTGATGGTTCAAAACCTGAACTTTACAGTGATTTCACCGTTTGAACTGAACTTCAACACCGTGGCTTAAACGATTAACCATCGGATGGCTTATTCGTCGTCGTTTAGCTCATTTACGTGTATAGATATGTGCTACTTCAGCAACGGGAAACAAGCTTTGACGCAAAGCAGCGCAAAATGCCTCAGTGTCGGCCCGGAAGTTAAATTAAAGGTAAGGCTCGTCTGAGATCGTAGAAATGTGGTAGAGTGTAAGATTCTTTAATAAATGTAAGAATTTAAATTTTTTCAACGGCTACATGTAGGGCTGTCAACCCCCCATGTCTTAAAATATTGAGAATTGATAGGGAAGGGAAGGTACATCTGTCAGTATAAAATATGGACTACGCCGGACTGCGGACGGTGGACCACGGACTGCGGACTGGGTATAAAAGACGGACTCCGGACTGAGTATAAAACACGGACTACGGACTATGTATATAAAAACAGCTTTAGAAACGTATTAAAAACTGAGAGAAATGGAATGCGGACTAGCATAAAACAGTAGTCCCAGCTCCTTGCCTCACACACAAACATTCCTTTTAATAGCTGGTCATGCAGTCTATTCTCCCCAACGTCAGCGTCATGTGGGGAAGGAAAGCATACTGCATGGAAAAGGAAGGTTATGCCGCTACTCAAGGGAAATGAAATTAAACTCTGAATTTTATAAAAAGAAGGAATTAGAGGAGAATTCAATTTATAGTTTTAAACCAATAAGAAGCACCGAATAAAAAAAATAGTGTTGGTGTTAGTCAGAGTAAAATTCTTATAGATGCCACTATTCCATATGAAATAAAGCCTTGGGAATATGAGGAAATGAAGAACTCAGGGCCTGGTGTTTACATGACACTCTGGTTCCCTCTCATGGCTCCGCAGTTGGTTACATGATAGCACCACAAAATGTCATGCCAGCGTGAATTACCCTGTTGTGAATTCACCCCGTTGTGAATTCACCCCAGTTGTTGTACCAGGGGCAGAAATTCACACCCGTATGAAATCTCACAACAGTATCATGTAAATGCAAAATGACCAAACATTCCATCAAAAACAGTGTGAAATCGGTCTGCCAGTAGACTGGAACGAGTAGCGCATGGGTAATGTTTGCAATTTTGAATCACACGTGTATTTTATCAATATGAAGTGTACCCTCAAATAACAAGATATGAAATGACCCAGTCATCATGTAAACGCGATACGAAGTCAAAAAGTCATCCCGGTATGAAACTTGCACTGGTGCGAGTTTTCTGATGTAAACACCCCCTCAGATGATAAGGTCAATATAGGAGCATTCCTCGATGTAAAAAAGCAGTATTTAGGATGGATGGATTACTCACCTATACGTGAATAATAACCAAAATGAATCATCCAACATCACATTCTAAGCGATGATTATGATGACATGATTTACACCCTGCTCCTGACCCCTGGAGGGGGGTACTTCTGGGAATTCTTGGTGGGGGTGTGCCACTTGGTTCTCCAAATCCTGACCCTATTTCAAACCAAAAAATGTCATTTTCCACGTTGGTTTTCAGACATCTCTAAAATCCATACCCATTCTCAGACCTGGTCTGATTTAGCCTGTTCCAGGCTCTCAGATAGTGGGGGAGAGTCTCCCGAGTTTCCTCCTGTTTTATTTTCATGTTTGCGCTTTCTCAATTCAGCAGACCCAACTATCTTGGAGCCTGGAACAGGCTAGGCCTGATTAGGCAGAAATCATGTCACCATTATCAGATTAGAGTGTAAACGAAAACATGAATTCTTCAAATGCATTTCGAATTCACACATTTTTGTGTTTCATTCTTATTCATTTGGAATTGAAAAGATACATGTACACCCCTGTAGTTTCCTCAAAAACCATACCCAATTCTAGACCAAAATGGGCAAAGTGTTTTCAGACCAAAGAGGCCCAAAAATCCTACCCTTTGAGGAAGCATTATATGTATAAGAAAAGACTTGCTTGTATTGCATACCAGGCTTTTCATCTATAAGAACTTTACTCTCACTAACACCAATACTATTTTTTTATTTGCTGCTTCGTATTGATTGCAAAGTTAAAACTATAAATTGCGTTCTCTTCTAACTCCTCTTTTTTATAGAATTTTATCCTAAGCGACCGAAATATGGGGGAAAATTTGTCCCACACCTGACCAGAAGGCCATTGTTTAAATTCAGCCAAGCGTAGACCGTTGACATCTTGAAACCATACTTGAGTTGAAATGTGAATCTCCTTTTGTGACCTCCTACATGTATGAAGCTTCATCCGACATATCTTTCAATGGATCATTTTAGCAGCACTACTATAAAGCTGATGAGGCAAACACAACTAAAAAAAGAACGTGATAGTATAAAAATTGCTCTGAAACAGTGCAGTTGGAAAACTTGTGATGGTGTAGAGGAGTTTTGCACAAATTATCAAACAGGGGATACCTGCAAATCAATAAATGCATTTATTTACCGCAAATGAACAAAGTGCAGTAATTTAAATTTAATACAATTTAAATTAACTATAAATTTAAATAATTTTTAAAGTAGGTTTTTCTGGGGAGCAGAATTTAAAGCGGGACTATTCCCTTTTTTTGAGAAATGGCCAGTGAAGTCTCCTGTTTCATCCTGTTTGCGGCTTAAAAAAGGCTCATATCTTTATGTTCTCTTGTCCTATTATAATATTACAAACTTGTAAGGTCACCTACATGTATATGATCTTCCTCAATTATGATTAAAAGCATTTTTATTTATTACAGATTCACTCCACTGCATTACAAGTAAATAATGAAATGAAATAAGCTAACACTACTATAAGAAAAAAGAAAAAAAAATGTATCATGGAACACGGATGTCTATAATTTTCAATACATTCCATTGTTTATCAAGAAAATGTTGCACAAAATTACAGTCAAAGCATGTCAAGCATTCCTGTTGCTAGTGGACTAATAAATTCATCAATGGAAAAATGATTTGGTTTGTTGATTCAATAATCCATTCATAAAATGAATAATCCAATAGTCAAATTGGACCTCGATTCAATAATAAAATGTTGATTTCGTTTATGGACAAAAATAATCTACCTGTTCTTTATTCTTGTCTGTTGTGTTCAATCGTATTTACTTCCCTTTTCCTACCATTTATGATTGCGTTTTTCATTACCTTTAATCAAAATAACAGCTAGAATAGACAGACTGCAAATGCAAAGAAACTGACAGGGGCTGAGGAGCGAAATCCAACAATCACCACACATACACTGACCTCCGTTTGACCATCGTGTTTTCTTAGAAGTCATATCCGTTGCACTGATTACTGGCAGCTAAATGGCATACATGTAGCAGTTTGTTTGGGTTTGAATTTTAGAACTTGCCCGGACTCGACTTTTAGAAAAAAAAACGAGAAAAAACAAAATTCTGACTTGTGGCAAGTGTAGTTTTTGTTAAAAAAAACAGTAATCGAATCAACATTTGATTGTTGAATATTGAGGCTGAATATGAATATTGCATCGTTCATTTTATGAATGGATTATTGAATCAACAAACAAAATCATTTTTCCTTTAATGAATTCAATAGTTTGTTAGCGAGGAGAATGCTTGACCTACTTTTTTACCTCTTCTTAAGGGTTTTCTGTCACACAAAATTGCCTCCAGTGGAATTTGTGCTAGGCCTGTTTCTTCGCGACTGGGATATGGCAAAAAAGAACTCGCGTATACTCCATACAATGCTGGCTTGATTGGGCTGATCCAATCCGGGGAATAGTTGAAAAGACCACGCTCAACTTTATTTACTTACATGTAGTACTGTTTTAACCATATAAACAGAAAGTTGCAAAATTTAGAATTGTTTTGTTGTCTCTGTGAAAGATTACTATCTATGACAGTCAGTCTGACTCCTGCTAACATGCACAAGTATAACAGGAAATTGAGCATAGCAACTGTCACTCAAGGCAATTAGTAAAAGGGAC